TTGACTTCAAAATTTGACTTCTTGCATTCCACCCTTTAAGTAAAGATTCTCTTCTTGTACGTTGTTTATCAAATTTTATATTTTAAATGCATCAAAAAAAAAAAAAAAACGCAAAAGAATTTTTCCGTATAAGTTACCAAATAATACTAAATAAGTTGTATTTGATTAACCATTTAAACAACGTATCTACCAAATACAGTTTTCGATAAAAAAAGTCTGCTTTGTTACAGTAGTAGCATTATGTTCAAATCATCTATCTTGTAAATGGCTGCGTCTGCCACCCTACACAAAATATCTTTAGTTTTAAAATCAACGAATTGACCATTTACATAAAACAAAATCAGATTTTTTTCTCCTTTTTTTTAAGAAATAATAAATACAAGATCTTTTATAACAAAATTAAAAAATTAAAGGAAACTGACGAGTAGTTCGTGACGTAACTCAACTTGTAAATAGAACTCTGGTTTATATCAAATAATTATGTGTTTTGTTTTACGTGTAGTTTACAATTATATTTCAACATCGAATGAGAATGGCCATCTTCAATTAAACCAGATTTTTACTTGAAAACCTTAGGTGTCCACACCAAACAAACAGGATCAATAACCCTGTCTTTGTTTTCTCTTGATTTAGCTTTAGTAGTATACTCGTCGATTATTTCCTAAACAAACCAAAATATCAAATTATAATTTAAATTAGTTTTTTAAAAAAAAAAAAAAAAAAAAAAAGATTTCATTATTTTTTAAAAAGCATTATTTCATTTTTCCCAATGCTTTTATTAACTCGTCGACTCATTGTTTGCGAGCATCAAATTTTGCAATCAATTTTTGAGCCACTTCCTGATGATAGATTTTCTTCAAATTGTGCATACATACTCTTGCTCGATGACAATATTCAATAATTAGTTTTGCAATAAGTCAATTAATTTAGTTAATATTAATTAAGTTTATATTTTATATAGATAGAAGAATAATAATTTTTAAAAGTAGTATACTAATTGTTTTCCTATTTGTACGCGCGTTTAGCTTATTTGGATGAGGCTTCATAAACGGAATGTTCAAGGTTCAAGACCTATCTCTTCCTATCTTTTTTTTTTTTTTTTTTTTTTTTTTTTTTTTTTTTTTTTTTTTACACACGCATACAGCCAAATGTTAATAAAATAAAATAGTAACATCAGAAAAAATTTGTGTTTTAATAACATATAAAAAGCATTGGGTTTTAAAAATTCGTTTTTAATTTTACTTGTTTTCTAATATTATAAATATTAAAAAAAAACAACAAGAAAACCTTTCTATAAAGTAGAAAAGTTTTGGAATTTGTTAAATCAACCATTATTAAAAATTTTTATGGTCAAGTGAAAAATGCACATTTAAAGAAAAACATGTATTTACAAACAGTAAACGCGTTACTCAAAAAGAATATGTTTATCTTACATTTCAAAAAAATTTTCAATTTTCTCTTTTTGTATTTAAATTTTAAACACCCACAAAAAGTATCGCAAGTAAGAAAGAGCACCGAAGCACATTGAGATGTAAACTCCAAGGAAAAAATGATTTATAAAAAAATGAAACAACTTTTTCATGAGTTTTCTACAACAACAACTAATGATTCAGCATCGAGCAGTGTTAGTAGTGACAACAGTAAAAATCTACCTGCCATCGTCTTTAGGTAAAAGGCTATCTGCTTACTGAGCAGTCAAGAAGCAGGGTTTAACCAACAAAATTCAGGCAATTTACTAACAGCAAACAACACAGGTCGAATAAATGATGTCTGTACAAACCTAAAAAAATTGTTCAATCGTGACCTGTTGTATCTCACTTACCGGAATCACAATTTTTAGCTTTTTTCCAAACATGCGCTATTCAAAAGATTTAGAGAAACCTGGATGAAGCAGTCTTTAATTACGACAACGGTAATTTAGTAATGAATATTTTTGTTGAACTAAATAAATCTGAACGTATGTTGTAATGAAATCATTTTTATTATTTTTATATGTATTTGTAATTACAGTTTTTCAGTTTAATAGTGGCTTTTACTATATAAACCGAAATAATAACACACAGTTTCCACCTGAGCTGGTACCACTTCTTAGTGACTGATTGATACAGTTCTGCAAAATATTTTTGATAGAGTTCATTAAGTGAACTCAGGTGATCCGGAAACTTGATAGAGTTCATTAAGTGAATTCAGGTGAAGTCAGGTGAATTAGCAGACCAGTCAAAAACCTCTACATCAAAAGCTGCAAGAAACTGATGTATGTATTGAGATTAGTAGGATTGAGTATTATCTTTAATGAACTTAAAAAGAAACTGGCAACCATTCTGTTTCTCATTGCATAATTGTCAGAAAAGCACTGTTACCCACATACTTAGACCAAATCGAACTTTCTTGAACAACACCTAATGGGCCGATATCTTACCATAAAATAATCTCCAAGATATACACTTTTAAACTTTAGCATGCAGTAGCTACAATACAGCCTTGACAATACTTTTTTTTGGGTCGAGGAGTAACAAGAACATGTACATAGAACAAGGTACAACAAGCTTTATCATTTTTTATCATTTCAAAGGTACAGTAAGCTTTATCATTCTCTTTTAAAGGTGGATAATGTAATTTAGCTCTGCATGTAAAAATTAGCATTTTAAGCTATATTAACTCATGCCACCAAAATTTTGAAGCGTTAAACACAGTTCAATTTTTGAGTCTTTTGACGAATGCCTTGTCCTCATCTTATATACTTTGTCAAAAGCTTTATACATATATATAAATACATACATACAATTGAACTTGAACAACAAAGCATATTAAATTTTTTTTGCAAGTGTCCTGATATAGTAATATATGAAAATGTCTTAATATGATAAATCATATAATTAGGAAAAAAATGCAGATAAAAAATAAATTATGAATAAATAAATTACGAATTATCAGATGAAGGTGGTTGGGGAAACTCAATAAATTCAGAATTTAAATTTTAAAAAATATTGAATTATTTCTATGAAGCCTTGAAATTAAGTTCATTATGCTTGCTTTTATAAGGGCCTACTAGCGATATATATTTTTTGACAAAAATAAAAACAATGTAATATACAAATATACAAAGAAATAAATAATCTCGATAGATTGCTTTTTTCTTTGAGTATTTGAAGTCTGATATTAAATTGGCATGCTATTATATACTAGTGTACATTATCAAAATTAAAATGGTAAATATTATAAAAAAAAGTAAATATACAGTTAAGCAAACATAAAGTTAATTTAAAATTGATATTTTTATTAAAAGTATAAGCTAAATTAGTATTTTTACACACAGTTGTATTTTTAATGATCATATACTCCAAAGTATACTAGAATAAAGGAAAACTATTTCAAAATTTATGCAAAAAAAAAAAACAACTAAAAAATTGCTTAAAAAAAGTAGGAAAATACCAAAAAAACCAAAGCCAAAAGGAAAAAAAACAAACAAATGATAATACGTGTATTTTAAGCAAAAAAAAATTGAATTATTAACAAAAACCTTGCGAAGTAATATCAAATGTTTTCCTTTCCAATATTTTAGCATTCCAAGAAATTGAAGAGTGCTTACAATATCACTTGGATGAATAGACATAATTTCACTGAGCCCTTAAACATAAAACAAAATATAAAAATATTTTAGTTTATTATGTAAAGCACACAAAAAGTAATAAAAGCTGTGCTAAAAAAGTGTCAACCTTTTATAGTTATTTGATCCTCACTATATTCCAATAAATATTGCAATAGTTTTTCTTCCCAATACTTTCTATAAGACATTAGTCCTAGATCTGATAATGGTCTTTCAGGGGAACCAGTTTTACCTTCTTTTTGGGATAAAAGATAACCTAAATAAAGAACTCAAAATCTTTATTCAGTTGGCCCTTTGAAAAATAGATGAACTTCTGAAAAATATTCATCCTCATGAAAAATAGTCAAACTTAAAACATGTTAACAACTATGGTCAAATTGTCAAAACAAAGTTATTATTTGCATGGTCATATGATGGTATGCGATCGCACACCTTCCTGTGAAGGCTTTTATATATATATATATATATATATATATATATATATATATATATATATATATATATATATATATATATATATATATATATATATATATATATATATATATATATATATATATATATATATATTTATATATATATATATATATATATTTATATATATATATATAAAATTTTTATATAATTTCGCTTCTTTTGAGACCCAACATGACATACTTTAGAGAAAAATTTTTTTAAATATTATTAGGGACCCGGTAAGTGTTCAAGGTTCTTGTGCTCCCCCTAAATCCAATAAAATTTTGAAAAAATTTAACAGAGTTGCTTGTGAGAACCAATAGAAAGTTTTAAAAATATGAACAGATCTTTTTTAGAATATAAGGGGCGGTTGGGACACCCTAATATATATATATATATATATATATATATATATATATATATATATATATATATATATATATATATATATATATATATATATATATATATATATATATATATATATATATATATAAATAAAGTATATCTATAAAAAATAAAAGTTAGTTTCAATAAAAAAGGCAGCGTTTAACTATTTTAAAAATATATTTTGATATAATAATATATTATGGATACTTTGTTGACCTATTGTGGTCAGCGCTATCAGGTAATGAAAAAAAAAAACGTTGAATAAAATTAATAAAATAAAACAAATCGTTTAAAAAATACATTAAAAGGCATAAAATATAAAAGCCAATAAAATAATATAATAGTGACATAAGTTAAATTTTTGTTCCCTAAATTTTTGTTTTAACAATTTACCTGTTATCTTGATTAAGGCATAGTTGGATCCAAGATCCAGATTTGAATACCCGTGTCCTAAATTTAAGATCTGGACCCGGATCTATTTTGTTCCAGTATTCGGTTCCCAAGTATTTTTACAAAATATTACTTTTTATAATGATGTTAAACCCGCGTACAACAGCCTATCAATCTGTTTACAAAGCATTATTTTATATCGAAGCAATTTTTTAAAAAGCCAATTTTAAAATGGCAATTTTGAAGAATTTGAAATCTCATGTTTGGCAGCATTTCTTCAAGTGCAAAGTAAACAAAACTGCTAAATGCAAAACCTGTAACCTCATTGTAACAACAAAAAGAGGTTGTACTAGTGTGATGCGAAAGCATTTAAAGATAAAACATAAAATTTGCTTACAAGAATATTATAACATACAAGAATTTGCTTTAGTCAAAGGACACAAAATACCTTCAAGTTCAGTTTCTATTAGAAATATTTTACTGGCTCATGTCAAAGACATTAAGACTCAATTGGTGTCAGAATTAAAAGAAATGAAAGCTAACAATATGAGATTTAGCTAAACTGTTGATGAGTATACTTCAATTAAAACGTGTCGTTATATGAATATTAATGTGCACACAAATGGAAGCCTTTTTAATCTTGGCCTTGTACGTGTTGTTCAGAATATGCCATCTGAAAAAGCAGTGAGTGAAAGGTTGAGAGAATTTAAACTAGACTTTAATTATGATATTGTTAGTACAATTACAGATGGTGCATCTGTTATGGTTAAATTTGGAGGTTTAATCAAGCCACTACATCACATCTACTATGCCCATGCAATCCGTTTGACAGTAGGGGATGTACTTTATGTAAAACCAGCAGAAATGTTAGATCAGAACGATATTATTGATGATGATGATAATAATACTGGTAGTGAAAATGACAGTGAAGAGCTTAATCAAAGTGAAGATCTAGGCTACATTGAATTTGAAAATAGTTCACAATAACCTGTTGTTATCAAAAATTACTTTTAAATTTTAAAAAAATTATGAAAATAAAATTCGAATTTTACCTAATTCAGGTCCAATTTGTTTATAATTGATGTTAGTCATAACTGAAGCTTTTTTGCAAAATATAGAAAAAAGAGCCCTTAATATAGCCTTTGTTAATTAGTTCCAACTGATAACTTATAAAAGATATGTGGATGATTATCAGCCCAAATTATTAGCCCATGTTGCAATTTTTTTTGTCATTCTGGTAGTAAAACTACCATACATACATATAAAGACAATATAAAGTGGTATCTTTGACGCCAATGATCCAATGCCAAAAACTTTATTAATCAATTGGGTCCTATTTATAATCTTTTAAATGGAAATTTTTCTTTTAAATAACCCCATATATTTTCTATGGGGATTAAATCTTAAAGCTCCCTGGGCATTCAGTGGAAGCTAAAAACTTTTAAATAGATTTTGCAGTGTGGTATGGGGCTACATCATAAATATTTGCATAAAATATAATTTTTTAAACAACTTTTTGCATAAATATTTATGCAAAATTTATGAAACTTTTCATGGCAGTCCTTTTGACATATTGAGCCTTTTGAGTCATAATCTCTATGGTAGACTCATTGCTAAAGCATATCTCAAGAAAACAGAAAAGTCACAGAATATAAAGACTAAAATATTAAAAACGAGTTCTCACTTTTGTATTATAAAGAGTCACTTACATTACTAAAATGACAATGTATATTTGCTCACTCTATGCGTTTTTTTTTTTGAGCTTAGGTTAAATTTTTTTTTTTTTGATGGCCTTTAATTTCTTATGCTCAACCAATGCAAACTTCATTGAACAGGCTTGGACAGAAATGAGATGCAATCGTACTTTGTAACTGACCACGCAATACTTTTTTTTCTTTACAAATTGAACACAGCTGTTTAATGTTTTAACAATTTAAATGCAATATCATTACGTTATCAATAACAATTAACTGTTGATATTTTCTTACGTTTTTATTTTACGCAAAGGCTTTAAATAAAATAAAAAAACTAATTATAAATGATCATTTAAGTAAATGCATTTTGTGAAAATTAAATTTCTTTTAGTAAGCATGTATTTTTTATGATAAATTTAAATATTTGAAACTATTTTTCCATGTCTTTCTGAAAATTTTTCATAAGATTACTTTTTTAAAATACTTTAAATTATGAATAAGTTTAATTAAAACCTTCCTGTTGCAATAAAATGATTTAATTACTTTATTTTTTTGTTTCTATTTATGGATAGTGTTTGATTGACGTCACAATATAAAAAGTGTTGTTCCGACGCCATATTGTAGGTCAAACAAATTTGTATTAGTTTTATGAGCTTTAACGCAAGGCTAATTACTATTATTTATTAATGTGGTTCTTATAGAAAAAACAGTTTGAAAGTTTATTATTTTGAACAATTTGAACAAATTTATGTAGAATTTAATTCTACATAAATTTGTTCTTTCTCATGATATAGTTAATTTTTTTTTGTGCAAACTAAAACTCAATATTAAATACCTTGTTTTCTAAACACTGTCAAACAAGGTAATTAACCTTAGCAACTAAGTAAACTGTAAATAGTATAATCCTAACATTCTTAAACTTAAATCCAATAACAATAAATACAGTTATTTGTGTTAAATTTTATAAACCTTATGTTATCTGTGAAAGACATTTTATTTAATTTTCGTTTTGAATTATCTTACATAACTCATATACAGCAAACATAATTTGGTTGCTTAAACATGCTAAATAAAGTATTAAATTGCTTTAATATTTTTAATTTCTCTGTATATAAATAATATGCTGATTTGTTTATTATGTTTTAGTATCTTAAAAGTGTTTTATATTTATTAGCAATACAATACAAACAATAAAAACCACAAACTTAGAAGAATGTTTTATTTTAGAGGCAATCAACACTTGTGCTAAAAAACAAACAAGTTATAGAAGATCCAAATGATTACGATTTTACTATAAACTTCATAGTTATTATAAACTTTAAATTGTTGAAAACTTATGCTTAACTTTAGCAGACATTCTTGAATGTTTTTCATAAAACATAAACTTTTTATTTACAATTTGACTCCTTGCATACTTTAAAGTTAAACTTTAAAGTAAAAAGCTGTTTGTTTAAAAGTAGCTGCTTTTTACATCGAATCCTGCAACGAAGAATAGTGTATGCATTTTTCAAGAATAGTGTAAAGCATATTTTCGAGAACTTGGTTGGTTTTTTTTGTCTATTAACTGCTGCAATCCACTCGCAGCGCCTCTTAGCTGACAACTCTAGCGTTTTATTATCTTGATGTTTTGTATAATAGCGGAGAAGCTATGGAAAGACATCTTGTCACGGTCAGCTCTACTTGAGCAACCGTTAACAAAACAAGTACTTGGCATAGTTTTGCTGTTGAAGATGAAATAATTTATTTAAGGTAGTTTCTATGGCAAAAAAAAAAACAATATTTTTATACACAATTGAAAACAATCTTTTTTACAATGTATAATGAAAATAAATTAACTTTCTATAATTAAAAAATCTTTTTAATTTAAACTTTTTTACATACAAAACTTGAATTAGATTTTACTGTGTACAAAACTCTAAAAAAATATATATTCTTTTAAATGTGCTGATCCTGTATTTAAAAAGTGATTTCTTAAAAATTCAGATAACTTAAAACGTTCAGAATCATGTTTGTTTATAGTATCAACACAAGGTTGTGTTGTTAAGTCTTTATCGAGTCACATTATTAAGTTCCAGTTGTTTACAGTAATCAATAAAACTTTTAAGTCCATCGTCAAATTTAACAAAATCAGAAAAAAACTGCACATGTCCAACACACTTTACTTTCAGTGGTACTATATTTAATTGCACATAAGGCCCACAACTTACAACATCTTTAAACGGCATAGTCACCTTTTCTGAGAAACTCATTGTACTCTAATCAATGAATTGAAATGGATCTTCTAAATATGATAACAGCTTGGTTGAATGGATACATGTATTCTTTGTAAATGTTTTATTATTTAGAAATCAATTAGATATTTACTAGTACTACTTATAGAAGTCCTTGAAATGTTATAACTTATTTTAGAAAATTTTAGAAATTGATTCCTGTCCTCTACTTCCTACTTCTCTTAAAGCTAATGCAGATCTTTCAATCAATTTTGTTTACTACATATACTTTTATTTGCAGCAGAAATGGATGTAAAGAACGGTTCATTTTAAAAACACTACTTCTGAGCAAACTTTTAAATTTAAACTTTAACTTATGAACAGCACCCATGTGATATGTTAATTTGTCAATAAAAAGTCTATGCTTTATGGAAAACATTCTTGACATGACAGCAAAAAGGTAGACATATATTCAATAATTTTAATAAAATCATAATCATTAGGGTCCTCTCGACTTGTTTATGTTTTTTGCAGGAGTGTTGATTGCCTCTAAAAGTTAGCAAATTGACAAAATAATATAATGTGTTATAATACTTAGCAGAAGATATTAAAACAAATGTAAAACACAAATAATCAAGTTTATTTTTGAATTCTTTAGAGTACATTATGTATAGTTTACTAATAACACACTTTTGAAAACAAGTTATTTTATTTAGAGTTTTATTTTAAGGAAAAATAAATTAATTATATTGTAAGATAGAGAATTAAATTCTCCATAAATTTACCCAAAAAAAATCTTAAAAAATCTATCTACAATAAGGTATGCTATCTAAATAATTGCAATTAAATACATTATGCTAATAAACACTCGCATTGTTTATTTTATTTGCCATACAATATGGCGATCGCGAATTTTAACGTCACGTGATAGAACACTATCCATACAAAGAATTGTTTAAAAGATTTTTTTTTAAACTTATTAATAAAATAAATAATTTTAAAAAGATGTAATTATTAAAAAAGACTTAAAAACGTTAAAAAGACTTTAAAGTGCTGAACTGTTTAGTTTTATATGCTTTTGTTCAGCTTAGTGTTTCTTTTTACAGCACATTTCTGAAATATTTAAATCATCAAAACATCTAAACAGTAGTGGCCAAAAAAAAAAAAAAAAAAAAAATCATTCCAAATAGAAATGGTTTCATCAGTGAAAAATTAAAAAGACTAATTCAAATTAAGGACCCCAAATTACTTACAACAAGTCACTCAAACATAGACCCTAAATCACTCACAACAAAATATTTTAAAACCAAATATACTTTCAATCAAAAATTACTTTTTATTAATAATATAACTTACTAAATTCAATGAGCATTTGACCATATCCTTTCTTCATGTAATTCGGCATTATCAAAATACATGAAACATTGTAGTTAAGAAATGAAACCTTTTCCTAAAATAATAAAATAACAAAGTCAATGATATATTGAAGCTATAAATAGATATACTTTAACTATGAAATGATGTACTGTTGTTATGAAATGGTATACTGTAACAATGAAATGGTATACTGTAACTATGAAATGATATACTGTAGCTATGAAATGATATACTGTAACAATGAAATGATATACTGTAACAATGAAATGGTATACTGTAGCTATGAAACGATATACTGTAACAATGAAATGATATACTGTAACAATGAAATGATATACTGTAGCTATGAAATGATATACTGTAACAATGAAATGATATACTGTAACAATGAAATGGTATACTGTAGCTATGAAATGATATACTGTAACAATGAAATGATATACTGTAACAATGAAATAATATACTGTAACTATGAAATGATATGCTTTAGCTATAAAATTATATATTGTAGCTATGAAATGAAATTTTTGTCCTAAAAAATGTAAATTTAAAATGTTATTTTTCCATAAATAACTATTATTAATATTAGTAAAATTATTTATAGCCAGAATGATAATTAATAAAATGTTTTTAATCACTATGTTAAAAATATTGTAATGTAAATAAAAGTTCAAGATGTAACTTGCAGAACGACAAAGAAATAGTACACAGAATCATAAAGAAATTACAGAATCAAAAAGAAATAGCTCACAGAACCATAAAGCAATAGCACACAGAATCAAATCAAAATAAAATACAGAACTAGACACTAAACAACACACAAAATAATACACACTGAATAATACACAGATTAACACACTGAAGAACATGCAGAACTATACAGAATAAAACACTGAATAAAACACAGAACCATACAGAATAAAACATTGAATAACACACAGAGCCATACAGAATAACACACTGAATAAAACAAAGAACCATAAAGAATAAAACACCGAACAACACACAGAACCATACAGAATAACACACAGAGCTATTCAAAATAAAACACTGAATAACACACAGAACAGAATAAAACACCGAATAACCAGTATAAAAACTTGTTATAAAATATTTTCTTTACAAAAAAAAAAAAAAAAAAAAAAAAAAAAAAAAAAAAAAAAAATATTAACATTTTGATTAATGTTTAACAGCTTGGATATTACATAAAAAAAACTGCATTTATCCTACATTTTAAAAGCAGGACAAATAAATATGGCAATTAAAAACAGATAAAATCACAAGTTCTTTAAAGACACATTTTGTGACTTTATATTTAAATCACTGAGCTGATCTATAATATGTTAAATATTATAATATTAAAGTGAAGTAAACATCTAGTTAGGTTTAGTTGTTTATTTTATATATAAAAAAACTGAAAAAATGAAAATACATAAAAATAAAAAAACACTTATTTGTATATAATTTCCATGACTAATGCAATTCTTAGAAAAACACCCACATTTTTTTTAATTAAAGTATAATACTTATGTTTAACAAACCTTGGAAAAATATCCAATGATGTGACAACCTGTTTCATCATTAAAGGTCATTATATAGAAAAGAAAAGGCCCAACATCCATCCAAAGTGTCTTATGATCTAAAAACAACTTTGCCAGCAAACAAAGATTTTGGCAATATTTCTAAATAAAAAAAAAACATTTAACATCATGCACTTCTTCTTAAATTTAATGTTTACATATTTACATAAATTTACATGCATTAATTATATAAATAAACAGAATTCTTTGGAAAAAATTAAAAATTAATAATGAAATACAAATTCCAGCACAATAATTTTATAAATAAAAATCACCATTAAATATTTATTTCAAAAAACAACATAAAAACTACAAATAAACAATTATAAAACAAGATAATTATTTAGAAAATAACAACTGTCAAAAAAACAAACATTTTAAAACACCTTTATTTCTGACAAACATTTTAAAACACCTATACTTTACAATGTACACTTCATGCAATTGAATTTTATTATGCACAGCATTTTAAAACACTCACAGTTGCTTTTTGACCATCAACTTCAAAAACTGACAGTTTATCTTTCCTATAAATTTCTTCACCAGGCGGATTACGGAAACTGCATTTTGCCTACAACATGCAAAAAATGAATTTAGTAGCAAATTAAAATTTAAAGTTTAAAACTTGTAAACAAAATATTCTACAAATGAACTCAAATTTTATAAATATGCTAAAAAAGCTTTTTGCTACAAAAAGTTTTGTCTGACTTCTAACTAAGTACATATAGAGTAAAAAACCCAGCAAATAACACCTAGTTTTGGGGCTATAGTTCTCCGTGCCTACTGCCCAAGTATAATTAGATTAAGAATAACATTCAAAACATATGAAAAAAAAAACTCTTCAAGACATTTTTAACTTATTGTGTAAGCTGTTGATAGTTAAAAAGCATCTTCTTGTCATATATTAGAAAAAAAAAATTATATTAAATTTCGTGTTACATTTGTATTGCTAAATACCAATAATTCAGCAATAAGTAGAAATTGGTTAGTTAAATACCAATTAAATAAATATTAATTATTTAGTGATAAAGTAACAATTCATTGACTGAATACAACTATTTAGTGATAAAGAAGTAATTGATTGGCTGAACACTATTATTCAGTGGTAAAGTAGTAGTTGATTGGTTGAACACAATTATTCAGTAGTAAAGTTGTAATTGATTGACTGAACACAAGTGATAAGGGGGTAATTTTTGCTCAGTGATAAGGGGGTAATTATTTTTTTGATGTTAATTTACCTCCCTAAAGCCAAAAAGGCTACTACAGTCAAGAAGGTTACTTAATTGTGGTTACAGCCCTCTCTCAGCTTTTTAACTCCAAAACACAAACCTTGACAAACAAGGCCGCTGCATTGAGAAATAAGTTAAGGGTAAAAATATATGAAATCATCCAGACCATGACACCTTTACGTCTCAGAATTTGTTTATTTTTACACCACTTGCAGTCCATATCAAAAAAATAATAACTGCAAAAATTTTAGTTAAAAATACCAATGGGTTCCATAGATATTGTCACTTGAAATAATGCTGACTCATTTTAGTGATTTTCTGAAGCGACTACAAAGCAACTTTGACATATAGTATCTTCATAATGGCTTGGGGAAATTTCCTAAAATTTGGTACTCTAATAGATTTTAACTTGAGGAATCCAAAAATAGCATTCTTAAGACTTGATTATCTCAAAAAATGCCTCATTTATCCAACTTTGTTCAAAATTATTGACTTGTAAATTAGTGATTTTTGGAGGTAAAATAAAGACTGTGGCCCAAAATCCTGAGTAAAAATTTTAATTGTATATCATTATTTCATCTTAGGTCTACTGAAAAAAATTAGATTCATCAATTGTCTCTCTAATGCGTGATCAAAAATTGCATTTAAAAATGGTGTCTTTTTAGAAAAATTTAATTTTTGTAACAAAAGCAATTAAAATATTTTTTAAAACATTTATTTGAATAAAACATCAAATAGTGTCATTTATTGAATAGTTTAGGACATTTATAGTCATGGGCCAAGGGAGACCCTCCACTCCCACGGGAGGCCCCTACGCCCCCTCCCCCAATCTCCCTAGATTTTTTTTTTTTTTTGTTGCATAAAATGAATAAATAATGCAAAAACATACAATTTAATTTTAATTTTGAAAAAAAAAAATTCATTATTTCAAATTGGTCACTTAAAACCTCCTTTTATATAAAAAACAAACATAAGTTTTGTTCTGTTCTTTTTAAAGGTATTTACTTGTTTGTATTTTCTTAAAGAATTACTTTTAATTTTATAGTTTTTATATTACTTTGTTAGGTAATAAATAATAAAAATAATTAATATGGAGAAATGTGACATTGAAAAAAGTCTTAACATTCATTGCCACAAAACTGGATTTTCAAGAAAACAAGGTTTTGTTCAATTTAAAGATCTTCCCTGCGGAAAACAAGAAGAAATAATACGGCAAGCAAATTTAAAGGAAAAATATAGTTCAATAAGAATTATATGTTGTTATCATGAGCAATTCTATGGAAAATATTTTGAGAGAAAAATTACAAAGTGTTGCAATCCTTTTGGAACACACAAGGAAAGTAAAAAAATTGCAAAAAAAGGTAATCTTACCTTATTTACAACAGAATTGATATGGAAATTAAAAGAAAACAATTTATTATTTATAAAAAGTTTTACAATTTTAGTTATTTTAACAACGTAAAACTAAATTTTTTTTTTAGGTAATATAAAAATTTCCATAGACATGGCAAACTATTTGCAAAAAAATAATGTTTATGTAACCCCAGGTTGGAAATTCTGCAGTAAATGTTACAAAAAAGCAATAGAAACTGATGAAGATTTAAATTCACAGGAGGAATGGGAATCAAAAAGTGAGAAAAAAATTAAGTTAGATACCACTATAGAATTGCTTGGAATCTCACCGGTCAAACTAAAAAGTCTTTCAAAACAAATTGCCTGTAGCAAAACAAAAGTTTGAGAACACTATTGACAGAGTTGCAAAAATGGTCTCATTAGCATATAATATTAAAGAAACTTTTTTAACAACAGAAATAAAAAAGCCCCATTTTAAACAACAACATTAACAATGACCATGATCTAGACATTTTAATGTATGAAATAAAAAATAAAATTTCAGAGACTGACTCTTATCGCCATAAGGTGCAAATGTTAACACTCGCACCAAAATCATGGACACGTAAAAAGATATCAAGCTACTTTGAAGTGTCTGAGTATCTTGTTCGAACAGCAAGAAAAGTTAAAAATGAGAATGGAATTCTATCATTACCCGGGAAAAAAACTGGAAACCCACTTTCACCAGAAACAGTTAATTTAGTGATTAACTTTTATCAAAGTGATGAATTTTCAAGAATGATGCCAGAAAAAAAAGATTATGTAAGTATTAAGAAAAACCAACATGTTCAAAAAAGATTATTGCTACTCAATCTTAATGAATTACATGTTGCATTTAAAAAAGACTACCCTAACATCAAAGTCAGTTTGTCAAAGTTTTGTATTCTTAAACCTAAATGGTGTATTACAACTAATGCGTCAGGTACCCACAATGTATGTGTTTGCATACATCACCAAAATACAAAATTTCTCATTGATGCCATTAGGTGGAATAAAAGTTATAAAGATTTCATGGCATTGATTGTTTGCTCTCTTGAAAATGAAGAATGTATGTTGCATCGATGTAACCAATGTCCTGGTATTGAAGCGTTAAAAAGTTTTTTAGTGCAGGAGTTTATGGACCATGAGCATGAAGAAGATGTAGTATTTAAGCAATGGCAGAGTACAGATCGTACAACACTACTTTCACAGTCATTGCCACTAGATGAATTTATTGATTTATTATGTGACAGTATTGACAACCTTACCACTCATTCATATATTGCAAAAACACAAAGTAGATACTTAATGTAAAGAAAATCTTAACCAAAACGAATGCTTAATTTTAGGAGATTTTGCTGAAAACTATCAATATGTTGTTCAGGATGAGGTTCAAAGTTATCACTGGAGAAAAAGTCAATGCTCACTTTATACAGTTGTACTTTATTTTATAGAGAACAAACTTCTCAAACATAAATCTTTTTGTTACCTTTCAGAAGATGTTGATCATGACACAGGATTTATTTACAAGACTCAGGAAGATATAACTAGATATATCAAAGAAAATCTACCTGATGTATCAAGTGTGAAATACTTTTCTGATGGTTGTGCAGCACAATTTAAAAATTTTAAAAATTTTATCAATCTTTGTCATCACAGTAAAGACTTTGATTTAAATGCTGAATGGGTATTTTTTGCTACCAGTCATGGTAAATCCCCCTGTGATGGTATTGGTGGGACTGTTAAAAGAGTAGTATGTCAAGAAAGTCTAAAACAAATAACTACTGGGCAGATTTTAGATGTTAATTTAATGTACTCCTTTTGTAAAGCCAAGATAAATGGAATTTATTTTAAGTTATTTTCAAAAGAAGAAATTGATCAAACACGAGCACAATTAGAAAAAAGATATTTAGGTGGAAGAACAGTTCCTGGCACAAGGATGTATCATCATTTTATTCCAATTGCTCCAAACACTATAAAGTTATAAAAAAATAAGTATTGATGCATGCACTGAAATACTTGATATCATTCCAAAAAGCAAACATTATGTAGATATTTCATTAAATATTAAAAAAATGGATTATATTGCATGTTTTTATGATGGATTTTGGTGGGTAGGGGTTGCTGAAGATGTAAGTGAGCTTGATATAAAAGTCAGATTCATGCATCCACATGGACCAGGTAAAAACTTCTTTTGGCCAATAAGAACTGATGAGTGTTGGGTGCTCAATTCTGAAGTTATATGCCTAATTTCTACACCCACAACAATATCAGGTCGTACATACAACATAACTGATTTAGATTTGGAGAATATAAACTGTTGGTTACAAAAAAAAATTAATTATGCTTAAAATAATTTTGTTTTTATTTTATTTACCTAATTTGCATTTTAAATGTCTTTTACTTTTTTCAAATCCTTGGATTGTAGGCTGAGATGGAGGGGTGGGGGTTTAAATAAATCACAAATCACTCCCATCTTATTATGCCAATGACTATATTAGTCTAAAACTACATAAAGATATTTATTGTCAATATGTTTTGAAAACATTTTAAAACATTTGTTTTTGAAATTTATGACTTAAAATCGTAAAAAGATCTTTTAAATAAGAGGTAAGTATTTATCGATTTGAAGTAACGCAAATAAATCGTTTCTCAAACTTAAACTGAAAAAAAATGTTTTTAAAATGTATTTTAACAATCAACTATTATTTATTAATTTTATGAAAAAAAAAAAAAAAAAAAATCTAGGGAGATTGGGGGAGGGGGCGGAAGGGCCCCCCGTGGGTAGGGAGGGCATCTCCCTTGGCCCATGACTTTAAATGTTTATTTAAATTTAAACTAGTCAATAAATAACACTATTTGGTGTTTTATTCAAATAAATGTTTTAAAAAATATTTTAATTGCTTTTGTTACAAAATTTATATTTTTCTAAAAAGACACCATTTTTAAATGCAAATTTTGATCATGTATTAGAGAGACAATTGATGAATCTAATTTTTTTCAGTAGACCTAAGATAAAATAATGATATACAATAAAAATTTTTACTCGGGATTTTGGGCCACAGTCTTTATTTTACCTCCAAAAATCACTAACTTACAATTCAATAATTTTGAACAAAGTTGGATAAATGAGGCATTTTTTGAGATAATCAAGTCTTAAGAATGCTATTTTTGGATTCCTCAAGTTAAAATCTATTAGAGTACCAAATTTTATGAAATTTCCCCAAGCCATTATAAAGATACTGTATGTCAAAGTTGCTTTGTAGTCGCTTCAGAAAATCACTAAAATGCTGAGTCAGCATTATTTTAAGTGACAATATCTATGGAACCCATTGGTATTTTTAACTAAAATTTTTGCAGTTATTATTTTTTTGATATGGACTGCAAGTGGTGTAAAAATAAACAAATTCTAAGACGTAAGGGTGTCGAAAATTATTATTTTTGGATGATTTCATATATTTTTACCCTTAAACTTGGTACTATCAGGGAGGTAGTGGGGATCAAATTCGGAACTTCTTGCATATAAAGTGAGGGCTCAACCACAAGAAATTATTTGAATACCAATATTTAAGAAGCTATCAAAACTTAATAAAAATTTCTTTAAAAAATTACCAATATTTAAGAAGCCATCAAAACTTAATAAAACTTTCTTTAAAAAAATTGAGAAAATTATATAAAAAAAAATACTTTAATAAAAAACAATGTAAAAGATATTATGTACGCAATAATAAAATATATGTTACCTAAATAAAAATAACAAGTTTACCATGTGCCTTTTGTATATAGTCTCTGTCTTGCTATAATCAAAACAAAATTCACAAATATGCAGTTTGGAACATTTGTTAAATTCAAGTGGATATTGTGACTTGTACCATGCCTCCATTTCTAAATCTCCCATTCGAATTGTTTTGATACCATCTTCTTGTGGACTCATGTCTTTATCTATTGCCTAAAAATATCAGTAAGTTTTCCTTATTTGTTTGACATTTTCTTGAGGTCTTTAACTAACGACTAAAAACATTATCAAAAAAAATTTGTATAACTTTATGCTATATACAACAATCAAACAGTATCTACAAGCAAGCCTTCCCAGGAAAATAATTTTATCAAAACATTTTTATATAGTAAGCATTTAAGCGAATTTGCGGCAAAATAAAGCTGTACAAAAATATATAGAATAAAACAGAAATACTTGAAGAAAGGAAACAAATACTATATGAAATAGAAAATCTAAATAATATACATATAATAATATACCTACCAAAATTAATACAAGTCGAGGAAAAAAGCAGATAAGAATACAAAAAAAAAAATAAAAACATTTTTTGATATACAATTTTTTCGTAACTTTTTTCAGTCAGTTTATTAAAGAAATAATTTGTAATTTGCACTAGAAACAACTATGGACAATTTAAAAAAATTTTTATCAAGATTTTTTGCTAAACTTTACTGTTTTTATTAATGCACAGGAAAGTGAAAAAGGTAATTGCTATCTATTTGGAAAAAAAAAAATTTTAACAAGTTTTTCATGTAAAAAATTAAAATTTATTAATACTTTAATTAATAATTTAAATATAAAATATGTTTGTTTTTTTTACACCCCATTGAAATAGTCTGCACTTTTGTTGGATTATCCAAATTGTGCATTTAAACCCAATCATTTATTTCCTGATTAACTATTGTTATTGACGATGTTTGAAAAGCTTGCAGGCTACTGTATTGTTAATTTACTAAACTTTTTAACGAAATTTTCAGCATTTTAAAACTATTTTTTAAGTTTTTAATTAAATTTTTTCAAACAGAGTAATCGTTGTGTTCATCATCTCTAGTAATTTGTATTAACATTGGATATTGGGCAATATAAAAGAAACCATGTTATTCTTTTATTTAATTTATTCCATCATTACAAAATTTATTAATCAATTAAAACATTTTACAAATAAACAGCAATTTATTTTCTTATTTTTCTATTATATAAGTATGGAGAAAAAATCAATACTTTCAATTATTGTTAAATTGTTATAAAATAATTTTTTTTTGATCAACTTGTACAAAATTTGGTCGCTAAAAACAACAATCACTCTAAAAAAAGAATATAAAAGTTGTATAGTAATATTATATAAATTTTTTTTTTTTTTATTTTTATTTCTTTAATTATTAAATTTTCTATTTTATTTAATTTATCTTGATACCTTGTTACAATTTTGTTTCCTTTTTTTAGGATTGGTTTTCATTTTGCAATAGATAAGTTTAGCTTTTTGCCACAATTATTGAAATGCTTTATAATCTAAAAGATGCGAACTGCTGTGGTCAATGTGTCTATAAAAATTACTTTAAACGTGGACAAACAAGGTACTTCCCGGGTAGGCTTGTACAAGTGTTAACTTTTACTTTTATTTGCAATTTTACTTATAAGAATAAAAATAAAAAAAAAAAAAAAAATATATAAAAAAAAATGTTACAGCATAAATTATAGTTAATTGTAAAAAAAAATTTAAAATTTTAAACTCAAAAATTACCTTATTAAATCAATCTTAAAATTAAAAAAACAATACCAGTAAAATTTCCATTTTTTTCTTTGCTGCTTCAAACAAGTTAATGTCTGTTTTAGATACAATATGTTCAACTGGAATCTCAGGAGTTATTTTGGAAGATTTCACCTGACTGTCAGTTGTTTCAGAAACAGATTCTTTAACAACTTTTTCTGGTGGTGAATCATCGCAACTATCTGTTTCTCGTATTATTTGTAAATCACTGTTATCATATTTTTGTGTAGTATCATTTAAATTTGTATGTTGTGGTTGGGTTACTGTTTCTATTGTGAGATCACTTCCATTTATATTGTCAGATTTAAATTGATTGGTGAGATCATTACCATTTATATTTTGTGGTTTGAATTGATTGCTGAGACTTTTATCCTTAAAAATTTAATAAAATAACATTTTTTTATTTGATTAAAATTTATCTAAAAAATTAAATTTATTTTTTAAAATAAAATAACAGTTGAAAATTTTCAGGACTTTAATGATTACTAATTCTATTATTATATATTATTATATATTAATATTATAATATTTGTGGATACTATTTCATACTAATTAACATTTAGATTTGCAATACAGTAATATATTTTGCAAAACTTTATCCAAACATTTTGCTCAGAAAAAGTTTTTTTTTGCTGTAATAGATCTCCCATATACAAAGATATTGTTTGCTGTAATAGATCTCTTTTATACAAGGATATTGTTTGCTGTAATAGATCTCCTTATACAAAGATATTGTTTACCTAATCTTCAGTCATATACTGACCCTAATCTTAATTCGATAAACAGACCCTCAGTCAATATAATATAATATACTGACACCCTGGCGCCCTGACACATATGTAAATGTAAATTTCTATAAAATCATATATATCTTTCAACATCTTATGCAATAATCTTATAAATATATTTATTATGATATATATTAATATATCTTTAAAAAAAGTAAAAAGCATAGTGTATAGTCTATTTAGAAAAGTCATGTGCAAATTTTCCAGTTAACTGTACAAAGTAAAACTTGTTTAAAACTTCAATACAAAAATGAAAATTGATACTATAAACATTGGCAAGTATTTAAATTAGTTTGCACATAACCCTTCTAGAGTGCACAAATTAAATTAGGCCTGCTTAGTTTTATGTTATCCATTAAACATAAAGAACTTTTAAGCAAATGAAGCTTTTATTAAACAAAAAGTAAGCTTTTAAACCAAAGATATTTTATATTATATATATTATGTATGCCATATTTGCATAAGTTTTAACATCTTAATAATATAAATATCAAAGCAACATGTCAAATCAGTTTTTTTCTCTTTTCCTTTAATAGCAACAATGCCCCCTTTCATTTTTTTCCTCTTTTCCTTTTTAAAGCATTTGCTTTGCTGACCAAAGAAATGTTGTTTTCCTTTTTGTTTTGTTCCACACACATTGCAAACTGTTCATCCAGCATTACTGAAGTTTTGTAAGAAGACCCATTTAAGATTTAAGATCTTAAATTTCATACAAAATGATGACTTTCTGACCTTTCATTGATTCATTTTTCTTCTTTGACTTCTCTTCTCTAAGCGTAAGTTAGCATTTTGATGTGCAGACTTTAAAGCAACTTTTATTTCAAATGTAATCTGGACAGTGTGGGGATTAATTTGATTAGCATGAAATCTTGCACAAGACGCCATCCAACAACATCTGTTGATATATTATCTTTAATAACCATGGAATCAAGCGGACATTTTTAAAACAAATTTTCAAGAGCAGAAATCAAAATTGGTACCCAATTAATTTTAAATTCTTTAATATCCTTTTAAATAACTGTTTCCTCTTGAGTTTTGACAATAAAAAATCAGAAGCAAAACCAAAAATTTCAAGTGATTCTCTTTATTTTGTAGATCAATTTTAGTAAGTTTGGAAGACACATTGATAGCTTCAGATTTAATAAACATCCTAAGAAAAGTCTTATTTGTACAAGATCACCATTCATGTACGGTAGCATTATTTACACTATTTATGTATTTTCCAGGTTTTGTAGTTTGAGTATGAACCCTGTATGCATATAAACTTATTTAAAGGGATCCCTAAGTGCTATAAAGATATGATCTCATATGAAAGAGCATAAAAAAAAAATGTTTGATGTATATTATTTTTTCTAAAACGTAATAATGAACACACACTAACAAATTTAATTTTCAAAAAAACGCTTTTCTTCTATTACAAAAAATGCATCTTGTCCAAAGTTTATTGACTCTATTGCCTCAAAAAACTAACGTTTGTACGTCAAATTAAACAAAGTTTATGTAAAACTATCATCTATTCATCTATCTATTCAGAATAATATATTTTGTGTGACGTTCTTTATGATAAAAACATTACTTTTAAGAATTGGTAAAAAAAAATGCTAAGCTAGAAAAAAAGTAATTAAACAAAAAAAAAAAAAAATCGCGAAAAGATTTTTTTTAAGAAAAAAGTGTGAAAAACAATTGCGATCGCAATACGCTTAAGCCTTGTAAGACTTTTTTATAAGTTCTAAACTATTTATTAAAACTATTACTTAATAACTTTTTTAAACGACATCTTTCAACCTAATTCTATTATATTGTTTTTGCAAAACTAATTAAAAAAACTTGATTAAAACTTAGTTATTTAATCACGACTTTTTTTAACTTGAAAATCGAAGTAGATATTCTAAAGTTGTTGTGACGTACTAACGTGATTTTTAACGACAATCGAGTTTCAATGGTAAAAAATAAAATCAAAATGGAGTTGTTTTTCAGTGATTTCAGCAATTGCTTTTTGTTAGCATGCATTTATTATTACAATTTAGCGAAAAAGAAAAAAACTTACATATTTTTTTTTATGCTCTTTCATATGAGATCATATGTTAGGAGCACTTAGGGATCCCTTTAAGACATTCATAAGCATTTCTATAACAAAGGAGGCCTATTAATATAAACCATGTTATTAAAATATAAATCCGATTGACATTATCACTAACCATATAAGCATAAAACCTTACATTTACAACCTTGTGGACATCTTTTTTATTGTCTCTAAATATACATAAACAATTTTGTATACCTTCTGACAGAAGGTATTACAAACAAAAGTGTAAAAATGGGTTCTGCTTTAATGTCCATCCTTAACAAATTTTTTTCTTTACAAATTTTTTTATCAAATTTTATAAATAAACAAGGATCAATAATATTTAAATGGTATGTGAATGGCAATAATTCCAAAAATGAAACTCTTTTAAACACTTTAATAAACAACATAAAAATTTGAAGTTTACAAAGGAAAAGAAAACCAGATTTAGCTTTATAACCTCTACAACAAATTGAGCCATTATTTAATTGACATTAATTTTTGGGATTTGACATTTATATCTCTTTTTAGTTTTATCAAACAATGCTCACTTTCCACAAAAGAATTATTGGAGAAACCAAATCCTTAACTTTGATGAGGTGGAAGTAATTGAAAATTTAGCAAAAAGTCTTAAGCTAATTATTTAAGATTCTGAAATTATTTGTAGAAGGGAAGCAACATTATTAACAGCTGATGACACATTAAAATCTATTGTTACAGAACTTAATGCTCAAGATTGCTATAAATAGCAAACTTGAGTATCAAGAGCATTATTAAGATTATTTGATAAAATAATCTTAAGAAAGCTCTATTAACTATTAACAGTTGAAAGATGTCAAAGAAGGATCAAGAAGGACTGATCTTGTAGGTTTATCAATGCTTTTAGATAATCCACAGTCTTTAAAAAGTGATTTGTGTAAAAACTTATACACATCACTTTATAAAGACCAGGATAGCAAAAAGTCAGGGAATTCGCAATCCCTAATTAGTATACTGCTCCAACCAAATTAAAAGTTAAAAATGTGCTCCACATTAAATGAAAAAATTTATCACTTAATATACAAGCTTTTTATTATATTATAAACTTATCTATTATTATACTAATTTATAATTTATTTTACTGTGATTTTGAATTTTATTAGTTCATTCTGTCATTAGAATTATGTCATAAAGAAATTTATGAAACATACAAAAAATAAAAAGCATATCATTATTTTAAGGAAAATTATTTCATTTTGTGCTACTACAGTGTTTAAGACGCACAAACACACATAGCTAAATTTTAATTATCAGCTTACTAGGAAAATTTATAAGTATATTTTTTCATTCAAAATTGCGCATACATTTAAAGAGAGATTTTTATCAAAAACCTTAAACTTTAGAAAAAGGTTTATTAAAAACGTTATTAAAAAACTCACTTATTAAAAACGAGGTTTAATACTTAAAAAATGTTTTATCTGGAAGAAAAATTATCAGACAATTAGGTTCAATTAATTTTAAGACCAAATGATGCAGAGTTTTTTTTTTAAATAAGCAACATTTTTGGGTAGGGTAATGTGGGTCTATATGTCAATGTGTTTTGTACTGTTAAGAATCTAATGTTTATATAACAATAAATACCTTTAAAATGAAAATTAGTATAAATTAGAAGTCTGACTACGTTTCTGGATTCATTTTTCTGGTGTCATGTTGCTATGGGTTCCTTTAGATGATCATTAAAGATGTAATGATATTAAGTTTAAAACTGGTAGATAATGCAGCGTAGCAGTTTTGAAGTATTGCACATTGAATTTTTATCTATAAACATGTTGTTTTTGTAAGATAAGGAATCCCTAATATATAACAAAATTTTTTTTTAGATAATTTTCAATTAGGCTTTACCTTTAAATTCTCCTTTAAACATAATTGCATCATGCTTTAACTTTTACAAGTAATTCGACTTTTGAATATCATATATTCAAACTTTTTACATATATTCAATTTGGAGAATAGTAATATAATTTCTTCTATGTATTAAAAAAGTTCATAAAAAAAAATTTATGGAAATTGAACCACGAGAATGCTCTGTATTCCTTGGCTAACAGAGATAGAAAAGAATATTCTACTTGCATTTCTAACTTAGCGCTTTGAACGAGTACATCCATTAAAGTACTATTATGTTAAAACTTATTAGTGTTTTATCAAACAATTTAAAAAATACATACTCAATGACTTCAGTCATATTTTACTATAGGTTGGTAAATTTCATTAAAAAAAAAAAAAAAAAAATGAAACTTAGACCCACATTACCCCACTAAACGGAGTAATGTGGGTCTATAGAATACAACTCAAATTAGTGCTTCTTTAAAAACAACTTATAAAAATTATTTTTTTAAAAATTTACAACTTTAAAAATTATGTACAAACTTTTTTTGATACAGTTTACTAAAAATATTTATCTATCATTATTTTAAGAATTAATGTCTAAATCATTATTTTAAGAACTAATGTCTAATCATTATTTTAAGAATTAATGTCTAATCATTATTTTAAGAATTAATGTCTAATCATTATTTTAAGAATTAATGTCTAATCATTATTTTAAGAATTAATGTCTAATCATTATTTTAAGAATTAATGTCTAATCATTATTTTTAGAATTAATGTCTAATCATTATTTTAAGAATTTTAATAAGTTTTCTTCAAAAAATAAAATGTTTGCTATATTATATTTTGCTCAAAATCAAAAGCAGCTAAAAAAAGGGCCTAGCCTACCCCCACCCTAGCTTTTATTATAACATTTATACAACTGTCAATATAAAAAAATATTTATACTAAATATATTTAATGTAATGCATTATGAATAAAATAAGTTTCTATACCAAAAATAAAAAAAGGCAGAAACTACTGGTAAATTCAGTGATCATCCAAGCAATATTTTAAAAAACCAAAAATTCAAAAAAAATTGCCTTAATTTAGCTTTAAGCTGATGGCTTTCTCAATATTTTTGAAACTTTACTTTTTTGCTGCAAGGGTAATGACAGAAAAAATTATTGCTTAAATATTTATTTAAATTTGTAATTTCAGAAATTTTGTGGAAATACAAAATAACTAAAAGTTGAAAAAAATATCTGATATTCTGGATATATCCGGAAAAAAGTAATCCCTGTAAATTACATTATTATATTTTTTAATGTATGCAATATTACTCAAAATCAAAAAACTGATTTAAAAAAAAACCTAAACAAAACAGCCCAGAAGTTATGTAAATGAAAGAGGGTGTTGAAATTTTGATTGATAAAAAATCCAAAACATTTGAAGAAAAATATTTTTCAATAATAAACTAAAATGTTAATAAAGATAAATTTATTAAATCAAAAGTAGGTTTTACCTTAAGAGGTCTGCCTCTCTTTAATCCAGTTTTAATAATTACATTTTCTGAAGTGCAGACTGGGCAAAACCAATCTCCTAAAAATTATATATATATATATATATATATATATATATATATATATATATATATATATATATATATATATATATATATATATATATATATATATATATATATATATATATATATATGTATATATGTATATATATATATATATATATATATATATATATATATATATATATATATATATATATATATATATATAAATATATAATATATATATATATACACACACACACACACACACAGATATATATATATATATATATATATATATATAAATATATAATATATATATATATACACACACACACACACACACAGATATATATATATATATATATATATATATATATATATATATATATATATATATATATATATATATATATATATATAACCCTCGGAATTAGGGTTGGCATTCAGCAATGCCGACCTAACTGCTGACTTGAAAGTGTTTGAGGTCGGCAAAAAATTGCCAACCTTGTTTCTATGTTTTATGGTCAGACCTTTGTATCAAATAATTTTTGCCGACCTCGAGGTCGAAGATCGAGGTCGGCAAATTATTGCCGACTTCGATCTTTTTGACCTCATTTTTTCTAATTCCTTTTTTTAATTTTTTCTAATTTTTTCTAATGGAACCTTTCATTAAAACAGTGTTTGCAGCTTTTAATGAGAATGATAAATTGGAGATCAAAACAATTTCCAAATATCACAATTCGCAAACACTTAATTTGTCCACTACAGCTTTTAAAATACACAACAGATTTAAAATATTTTTTTTTTGGTTTAAAAACATTTTTCTTAAAATCAATTGTTTTAAGAAATAAAATTGAATAGAAGTATAAACTTTTTCGAATAATTTTGATTTCACCGTATATGGTGGGAATATTTGTTATTCACCATATATATACATATTTTAGATTTCACCAGTAATTTTTCGTTATATTAGTTTAAATGATTTTTGAAATTTAAAATTAAATTTAATTACAACGCAGAACTTATAGGCTTATGACAGAACTTATAGGCTTATGACAGAACTTAACTTTTAAGGTGTAAATATCAAAGCTGTTGTAAAATTACTTTTATTAGCATTTTTGTTATGTAATAAAATCACATAACAAGGCCTGTTCTTAGATTTAAATTTGCAACCAATCAAAATAATTATTACAAATTTAAAACTCCAGGGTATTGATTCTCAAATCTCTTGAAATTGTAGAAACATGATATTTCCTTGATTACAAGTTCATTCTGAAATGTCAAACATCCTCAAATAAAATCTATATGTACACTCTTGAAATTAAGATGAAATATTTCAGTTCTTTGGAATAATTTTTGATGACTTCTTTTGAGAAAACAGC